TAAATCATTTTACTGTATATACTTAACACAATGTTTACTTTAAAACTGTCAAAAAAGAAAAAACACTTTTGCAAGGTTCACATCTAAGTTCCTATAGAGTTTTGCTAAATAACTCTCACATTTTTGCAAATACATTTCATCATATATTATGCAGACGCCTTGAAACATTTTTTCATTTTTGAATAATAGTTTTACAGATTCTAATGCATCAATATTACTAAAACTATTTAGAGAAGGAATGGAAGTATAACAAAATGAATTTAGTGATGGAATGGAAGTATAACACAACAAATTTAGAGAGGACACTTGTTTTTGTCTGTTATTTTATTAAATTTTTCAAAAACTAAACTAAATAATTTTTTGCTTGATTGTATGTGATAGTATGTGAGCAGAAAAGTTTTCAAATATAGTTACACAAGGTAATTTTATCAACTTGAAACCAGCAGGGTAATGGTATTAGGGTAATGATTATTATGTGTAATGATTATTATGTGTGTATATATATATATATATATATATATATATATATATATATATATATATATATATATATATATATATATATATATATACTACAGGAGGAGAAAAAATCCTGTTGAAGAAAAAATTATTAGTTAGATAAGTGTTTAAATAATATTTAGAACACCACTTGAAATGTGTTGACTAATTGCAATCAATATAACACATTTACAATTAGACTTACAAATATGTGGAATAATGAATTTACCATAACCGGTATAATACGGGTCACTTTAAATCTATTTCTCACTAACACTGTCTATACTTATTCTTTATATAGTCATTTTATTTCAATAATATTTAGTAACCTAGCGGACATTTGTTTTTAAAAGTTACATTCTAAATGTCTTTTAAATGTCTTTTAAACATTCCTACGTAAAGATTGTTTAAAAGGCGTTTGAAAAATGTTTAAAAGACATTTAGAACGTAAAATCTGTCAAATCTTTGTTTTGAGTTATCAATTAATGTTCAATACATTACAACTTCTTGTTTTAAAATTGTAAATTTCTATAATAAAACAAGTACAGACTTAGAATTATTTTTTTTTTTAATTAAGTTTTTAATAAATTTTTTCCAGACCATCCGTAGCTGATTGAGACCCTCACCCCATTATTTAATTTAAAAGAAAGTAAAAGTTTGAATGTTAAATATTTTTTTCAAGAAGAAAAAAATTGTATCTTTAATGTGTGTTATACATGCAGACTTAACTAATTACCTAAATTACCTTACGCAAAAAGTTTCTATCAAAATTAAAAATTTTGTATTTTAAAAATTTTTTAAAGATTTAAATTAATTTGCAAGTGACAGGATTTGAACACTCACATTGTACTTCAGAAGCGCTGTGAGCTAACTGTAATAATAAAAAAAACTGTTAGCTAAAAACTTTTAGTAAATGGTACTTACATACATGCTAACTTAACTAAGCTTTTAACATCTTGCAACAGTTCAAGTATATTCTGTTTTATTTTTAAGCTTTTAACATTTTACAGTAGTTTAATTAATTTCTATTTTATTTTCAGACACAATACAACAATGAATAAAACTATATCTTGTTGCGAGATATGGCTTGTTACTAAATTTAATGAAACATTATTTATAGCAATTGGAATTTAAAAGTGGTATTGCAAACTGCTCTAATTCAGTAACGGATCCAGATGATATCTGGAGACACCAGTTTTCTACCAATTTAGAGACAGTACAACTCTACCAATTTTCACCAATTTGGAGACACCACAATTTTCTAAATGTTTTGAAAAACCACAATTTGATACTACTTGTTGGTACATATAGAATTATCCTCATATCTAAGTAGCAAACACTATTTTCCCAATATGTAATGTTTACAGTATGTAAACTATATAATCAATATTGTGCCAATATTGTTTTACTATGTAGGTAGAATAGTCATTAAAAATTCATATTATAGATAGGAGTAAAAATTTACTTTAATAGATATACCTATATTTTGGTTGTATATTTGTATGTGTATATTTTGTATATTTTGGTTCAATAAATTATTAACGTGAGTGTAATAAAAATAATTCGCAATAATTATTTAATTTTTGAAAATATATTTATCTTCCAGTTAAATCGTATCATCAGTTTGGAAATTTGTAGCCCGGCTTAAAATTCCAAATTCAAAAGATGTTAAAGACATCTGCAATAGATGCAGTTCTGTTGTAACATGTTCCGGTGGATCCACAACTACTTTGCGGAATTATATTTTGAGACATGAAATTACTAGTCCTTCAAATGGAAAATTAAGCAGTAGTTCAAATCCACTACTGGAAAAAAAAATTTAAACCATGGATGGTTGTTTGCAAAAAACGAGCCTTGAATAAATTGTAGCATATCTACCTACAAATGGTGTTTGGATTAATACGAAAAAACTAAGAACAAATTTATTCGCTAAGCCATTTAACAAAAAGGAAATCATCTTCCTAAAAATCCAACAACTGTAATGAATTTAAATCCATCAAGATTTTTTTTGATAAAAAGGAAGTGATGAAACAAGAATTTTTTAAAAAACTCAAATGGCACATAAATTCAGCTTAACGCATGATGAATAGACATGTATGAGGCACAGAATTCAAAAAAAAAAGTTCTACAGAATTTTTATAAAGTTTTGAAACATATGACTTATAGAAAATCTATAGAATTTCAATAGAATGTCTATTAATTTCTATAGAAATTGCTATAAAAAATTTTTTCTATAGAAAAAAAAAGTAGAAAATTTTTTTTTTAGGAATTTCTATAGAAATTAACAGAGATTCTATAGAAGTTCTATAGAATTTTATAGAATTTCTATAAAATATTAAGGATCATTTGGATTCATTTGGTTTCTGTATAGGAAGAGAAGGTGCTGTAGGTTCTACTCAAGATCGTGCAGCAATCTACAATAAGCTCAGGTAAAGAAAGTTTTGTAAAGAAATCGAGCTGCATCTGGATGTTCGTCATTGTTGGAATTTACTTTTTTCAATGACTGCACCTTTATTAAAAACTAAGAAATGTTATAAAAAACAAATGAATGTCCATTTACTGAATTAAATAATCTTAATGTAATCAACAAGATTTTGAGTCATTAGCTTCATTATATGCCGCTTTATTCATTAGCTTCATTATATGCCGCTTTAGTCATTAGCTTCATTATATGCTGCTTTAGAGCCAGCAAAACTAGCAGTGGAATTTTTTAGCAGAAAAGATCCAACTTTATTGACAGCAGATACTGTTCTTGAATTCATGCTTGCAAAATTATTTGCTATGAATACAGAAATCGCATCTTTATTGCATTCAAATTTAAAAAAGCGCATCGATAAAAGAATTAACAGAAATGTCATGTAGTTTTAAGGTGCCTAAAAGATCTTTCAGTTGTTCCATTAATACTTTAAATTTTGCTGGAACACATGTATTTAGGTTTTTTGAATTTACTTCTAATGGATGAGTTTTAAGGATGTATTAAACGCACTTCTCAATAAAGATAGCATCACACACTTGTCCGAATCTACTGATCAATTCAAATGGTTTAAACATGTTGTACCAAAATATGGGCAAAAGAACAGAAAATCTTTAAAAATTTTACAATGCGATTCTCTCTATATAGCCCTCATCAACAGATGTTGAACGCAACAGCCTTCATCAACAGATGTTGAACGCAATTTTTCTACTAGTTTCTGCACAAAAATCACGATAATCTGATACTTATAATTATAAGTTTTATTTCAAAACAAATTGTCGGAACACTTTGTTTAAATAACTCTTTTAATAAACAATGCAAGATAAACTTACATAAGTTTTATAATTTAACAAGAAAAACCGAAAAACCACGGTTAACTGCAGGGCTTTTTTTATTAAAACCAAAACCGCAGTTTTTTGGAAACCCTAACATTGCTTAAAAAACAACAAAATTTTCATGTTTCTCTATTTTTTACCAAGGTCCATACCTATATAACAAAATAATGTCTGAAAATATAAAACTTGAAGCATTAAATAATCCTGCCATCTTGAAAGAAAAAATTAAAACACCTCATACTTAATATCAACAATTTTATTGACATGTATAAAACTTACCAACAAGATTTATACTAAAATATTTATGTGTATCACTGACTGTATATTGTTTAACCACTTTTGACTATATATAAAAATTAGTTTTATTAGAAATACTGCATGATTAGACTTCATAGTCTTCTGCAAGTCTCCTTTACAACAACATGTTAATATTTGAAAAGACAATAGTTTTTTTTTAAAAAACACTGTTAGTTTTTATGATAAGGAACATTTAATAATTTAATGTTATACTTTGTTAAACTTGTTAAATTACATATTCTTGTTATATTATATATTTTATACTTTCCATTATATTATGTGATAGAATTGTAACATAATGAAGTTTAAGTATATTGAAATTGTAAAAAAAAAAGATGAAATATATATATATATATATATATATATATATATATATATATATATTTCATCTTTTTTTATATATATATACATATATATATATATATATATATATATATATATATATATATATATATATATATATATATATATATATATATATATATATATATTTGTATAGTATATATATTTGTATAGTATATATATATATATATATATATATATATATATATATATATATATATATATATATATATATATATATATATATATATATATATATATATATATATATATATATATTTGTATAGTATATTCATTTATATATATATGATATATGAATATATTAAATACTATTAATATTTGAAGTTTTTTTTATTAATATTGCCATTCTTATAAATGATATCAACATTCAATACACATATATTTATTTTTTCTTATAGTATCGGTCAGCCTGTTTAAGACTCGTCAAAAAGGTTATCTAAATTTAAAAAAATTTATTTCAGATATTCTTCTTGACAGGTTTTAAGCAGATCTGTGTAATAAGCTTGATAAGTGTTTTATTTTATTTTTTTTAGTTATAATTATTACACAATTAAATAAAGTATGGATTGGCTAATTAATAGTATTGGTCGAGGCAAAACAACCAATTCACGTGGTAAGACTGTAAATGAAGATGCTCATAAGGAAAAAGCTCAAATAATGAGCCGAACATTATCTTGTGGCCTTGTTGCAAATGTTACAAAAGATGAATTGCAAGCTACTGTACCAGTTCCTACTGGTGTTGATAATAATGAGTGGTTAGCTACTAATACTTTATCATTTTTTAAACACATTATGTTGGTTTATGATTCAGTTAGTGAATATTGTACGCCACAACATTGCACCGCTGTTTCCAATGGAGCACATATGAACTTTACATGGGTTGATGAAAAAGGAAAAAAAATTCGCTTGTCAGCTCCACAATATATTGAACTTGTAGTCGTTAATATTGAAAAATTAGTCACTGATGAGAATATATTTCCTACAAAGTATGATATGCATTTTCCAGCAAATTTTGTAACGATTATTAAAAAAATATTTCGTATGCTCTTTCATGTTTTAGTCCATGTCTATCAATCGCATTGTGATCATTTGGAAGAATCTAATCAATTAAACTTTTTAAACACGATATTTATACACTTCATGTACTTCCAAACCGAACATGGTTTGCTTGATTCAAAAGAAATTCAACCACTTGAAGATCTCATCAAATCTTTGTGTTTATAATCTTTTCAATATTAAAGTTTGGTTTTCGATTACTGTCGTAATTTTTCGATTACCGTTGTAATTTTTCAATTACCGTCGTAATTTTTCAATTACCGTCGTAATTTTTCAATTACCGTGTTCAACATAAATCATGCTGTATAAGATTTTATTTATTTCATATTTAAAATTTTTCATAAATTGTTTGTCTGTGCTCATATGATTTAAAAAAAAAAAGATTTTCTATGTCAATGATCGTGTGTGTGCAGTAAGAGTTTTTGTTTACAATGTGTTTCGATAGGTTGATGTGTTTCTATGGTTAAATGTAGTTTTTTTTTTTGTTTTTTTGAATTTTGTGGTAAAATTTTCCTCTTTTTTTTGTACTTATAGTTGTTTTATTTTTGAGGTTTTTTATGTTTTTAATTTTTTTAATGTTCATAGGAGGTTCAGCTTAAGAGTGTCCTTTATATTGTAAGCACCATTTTAAGGGTGTCCTCTATATTGTAAGCACCATTTTTGTGAATTTAAGCTAGGTTTTATAAAATCTAGGTTATATAAAAAGTTATATTTATATTCTCTATAATAAAGCTTCTTATTTTTGTTTCTAATTATTACTGCATTTATAGAGTATACAAGTTTAACTGTATGTAGTTTTTAATATTAAACAGTGGTGGAAATAGATTTCATATTTTATTTATTTTTGGCTTTTTCTGTTAAATCATATCTGCTTATATAATACATCTAATTGTCTTTATTTACTAAGTCAATTTTGCTACAATTAATTCAGACAAATATTGCTAATTCAGTGAACTCGAGTTTGAACGGAGGCTGTAATAATGTAATAAGTTGGGTTGGCAGTCGAAAATCCAAGAGCAAGAAACCCATAGAATAAAAGCGGGTCGAATCGATCACCGAACAATAAAAATAAAATAACCCTTGTTATTTTTTGATTTTTTTTTTTCAAAACGCGCATTATTTATTGAACAAAATTTTTTTTTTTTACAAATTTTGTTCACTTAAAAATATAAAAACCGAAAAAAAAAAATATTGTTTTCGATGGAATTTTTTTTTAAAACCTATCAATATAAAATACATTAAATAAATTTTATATATCTAAAAGTATTTTTTACATGACATACAGAAATAATGAAAGATTTTCGTTTTTTTTTAAGTTTTTGCATTTTTTTTTTTAAAAAAAATTCTAAATTCATTACAATTTTTTTGGTGAATGTGTTTCATTGCAGTGCCAAGTGTTGTAACTTGGATTCTCACTTAACGTTTAAATGTAATTTTTTTCTACATTCTCTGCATTTAATCGTCTTTTTGCGATAAGTGATATAGTCGGTTCTTTATTTTGAATTATTTCTTTTTCTGCAGGGCAATGGCATTTTGAGTTTGCAGACAATTTTGCTTTTTTCAGCCAGTTGCTTAAGTTCTATTGAGATGGTCTACAACGCTGTGTTCTGTGGTACAATGCAGTGTTCTGTGGTAAATTGGCCTTTTTGAAATTATTTCTGGTAGACAAATCAATATATATATTGTTTTCCCAACAGCATTACAGCTGTCAAACTGACTTGAAACGTATGTCCATCAAGATGTAAAACATGAATAACACAAATGGCTAGACATTCTGGTATATTTATTTCCTTAAGCCATTAAGTAAATGTTTCATGCGCCATTCAACCAAAATTAGAAATTGAATATTTGGTGTCAGTAGGACCGCCTAAATCCACTTAGCAATAAAGTTTCATTTTTTTTGTACACCACAAATGTAGATGTGTATAAAGTACACCACAAATGTAGGTGTGTATAAAGTGTCTATCAGCATTACAACAATTGTTCACTGTATAATCGATTTTTTCGTTGTTACCAATGAGTTTCAAAACACTCTTTTCATTTTTTAGAGATACTACAGTTGCTTTGTTCTGATCACCACTAAAACCTGTTTCATTACAATTTCAAATATGACAACCAGAGGTTATATCTGACAATTAATATTTTTTAGTGACAACTTCAAAATAGTCATCAAATATTTTTTCTGCGCACAAGAAACGTCTTTGGTGGATAAATTGTAAGGTTTATAAACGAATTAAGTCAGTCTTTGCCAGGTTTGCTGTTTTTAAATAGGTCTGATTGATTTGAACACGGAAGGTAGCCGCATACTAAATCTATGACACCACTTTGTGTTAAACCATTACCCCTTTTGCAAAGAAACTTAAACGCATGACCCATTATTGATTCTGTTTGCAGCAAAAGTAAGGATCCTTGTCCCTTAAAGCTTGCATTGTTATTGCTTTTGCAACCTGAGTTGAGAATGAAATGCTATATTTGAATGCAGTTTTTCTGAATGAAGTATTTTTTTTTCTTTATATCATTTAACACAGCTTTTATATCTTCTTCGTTGTACAACTTTTTACTTGTTGACATCTTGAAAGAGAACAATTAATAAATATTATTTCGTCATTTTTGTTTAATAACTTTATAAGCTTTTACTCTATACTTTATAAAGTTGGTTTTCTCTATATATTTTTTTATAAAGTTGGTTTTCTCTCTATATCATTTAATCTTCAATTTCAATTCCATCAAAAAAATTTCTTCACTAAAGCTTAAATTTGACTACTAAAGCGCGTAAAATGTCCATGTAAAATGAACACGTAAAATGTCCATGTAAAATGAACAGGTAAAATGTCCATGTAAAATAAACACGTAAAATGTCCATGTAAAATGAACACGTAAAATGTCCATGTAAAATGAACAGGTAAAATGTCCATGTAAAATGAACACGTAAAATGTCCATGTAAAATGAACAGGTAAAATGTCCATGTAAAATGAACAGGTAAAATGTCCATGTAAAATAAACACGTAAAATGTCATGACTTCTCTTGAAAAAACAAAACCCACGGTTGGGGTGTGAAAAAGATTAGGGTAATATGAGCACCTTGAGAGAAAATTGGAATATTTTAAAAAATAACAATGCTGGATCCAAAACTTTGGAGAATAAACAATTTTTAGGGATCCCAACTTATGATCCACTATAATAATTGTGAACCCGAATTTTTTTCTAAAAAACACAAAGTTTTAAAAAAGTAGCAAAAGTACTCGTATTACCCAGACCACTTGGTGACCAGACCACTTGGTAATATGAGCACTTTAAATAAACTCAAAAAAATAGCACCATTTAAGTAAAAAATACCAACCTGACAATTAAAACTAATTTTTAGAATATAACGATTTGTTATTAACAAAACTTATCTTTAAATCAAATTTTAAGACACTTTTTGTTGAAACAGTACCTCTATGTTTTCCAAAAAAAAAAAAAAAAAAGTTAGTTTGTTATTTTTTCAATTTTATTAACAAAAATACATTGGATTTTTAGCTAAAAAAATTTTCTTCATAAAAAAATAAATTTTATAATTTTAGCACCAAAATTTCGCGCCACAGATTTATTCATGCGTGATAATATTATTTTAACAACAGCTAATTACAAAGAAATAGTTACAATATTAAAGTTAAAAAAATTAGAATTATAGTTTTCATACATAGTAAAAAGCTAAATTTTTTGAGACACCTTTTTTCAGTTTTTACCCTTAAATAAACAGAACATCTGTCATATAAATAAGCACTGTGGGGCAGTCATCAGAGTTCTGACAGATTTTTCAGGGTCTCATCATAAAATAACGTCATTGAAAAATTGGTTGGAAATTTCTTTTTTAAATGCTAATCCCAGGTGTTCTTTGACACCTTAAAAATAAAAAATAAAAATTTTGCTTTTAAAAATAATTAAAAAAAAAATCCTTACAAAAATATGATAAAATAGACCTTATCTCTTGCAAAAGTTTAGAATCAGTTTAGTATTTTTTAGGTAAATCCTTAATTTATTGAAAATGACATACAAAAATGACATACAAAAAGCTAAGATTTAATTTATGTTATATACACACATGTGAATGTATATAAAATAATGCATGTCATTTGGGTGTATCCTTTTTAATAAATTATGAATTTACCTAAAAAATACGAAACTAATTCTAAACTTTTGCATGAGACTGTAAAATAGCTTAGGGATTTTCCATAAATTATGCCGCGCAACTTTTGACTGTTTTTGATCCCCTTCCCCCTCCTTGTCACAGCATCGTAGCTCTTTTGTAACAAGTTCCGTTCAGTTGTCACAAAATACCTAACCCCCTAGAGCTTGACGTAATTTATTGACGATCCCTTACACGTGTGCGGTCTACGTGTAATACATTACACGTCTAATTTTGAACTCAAAATTTGTTGTTAAAAGAGTGCCTCCTGTTTATGATTTTAGAATGCGACACTTAAAAACTTCTTATTAATTCTGCAACAAATTGGCTGTTTACTAGGGCGGGCCAAAACCATACTTTTTTTTTAATTTTGACAAGCAGCACTATGTGTATTTTTTAAGTTAGTATAATAAACTTTGTAGACTAAATTTTTTTTTTTACACACACCCCTAGGGGTTGCACCACACACCCTAATTTTTCCACAAAAAAAAATTTTGTAAAAAAAATTTTTTTTTTTTCGCGTATTCATTCTTTTAACAAAAGAACTTGAAGCAAAAAAATAAAAAATTGTTGCTTATTTTCAGAATTATTACTATGTTATTATTATTAAATGTTACTATGTAATTTTTTAGTTTATTCTATTTGTTGCATTTTAGTCTCTATACATAGTATATTTAGTGTTTGTGTATATATTTGTCTTCTTTTTATTTGTTAGTAATTAAAAGTAAAATATAACTAATAATAAGCAACAATTGTATTATGGCAACATTTCACACTCGCAGTAAAACTGACAACTTAACATTTGAAAAAGGTTCTAAATTTCCAACTGCAATGGTTCCTACAAAAAGAGATGTTGCGAAATATTGCTACTATGTTCGTAGAAATGAAGATGCTAAAGCCAAAGAATCAAATTCTATCAACAATTGAAACAGAGGCAGTATTCTCAAAAGTATTTAGATTAACACGTTCACGCCGGCGTGTACCACCGGTGGTACACACTAGACTGTCTCATTGGGCGGCGTGTACCACTGGTGGTACACACTAGACTGTCTCATTGGGCGGCGTGTACCACCGGTGGTACACGCCGCCCAATGAGACAGTCTAGTGTGTACCACCGGTGGTACACGCCGGCGTGAACGTGTTAATGGAAAAAACATCCAGATTAAAAAAAACTTCAGGACTTAGAATGTTAATAAAACTAGACCATGTTAATAAGAATGTTAATAAGACCAGAAATTACAAAAAAAAAAAATAAAAAGATTGCCTGCCCTAGCCAAAATCCTGAATCAATGTAGAGACAACTCTTTATATGTTCTACCTATTTCAGTTGATGTATTGGAGTTGATTGATTTTTATGACAAATTGAAAACTTTTGACAACATGTTTGATATATGTTCTCCTAAATCATAACAATTGTTATGATTTAGGAGTAGAAAGATAAAAATGTAGATATAAAAGAATGGGATGCGTTTAATAATAAAAGAATGGGATGCGTTTGTTGGGCAAAAGAAACAAATCAACTTGGGCTACTTGATCGTGCCTACACATCTACTTTAAAGAAAACTGAAACTAGAAAAAAAAAATTTGTAACAAGGTTAAAACAATTAAATATATATAAAAACGTTGAGAAAAACATTGATAGACAAATTACTGATGACAATTCTATGAATCT